CACACACACACTAACATGTTCTACTCTACCACAAATACCAGGAGACCAGTCGAGAGCTTAGAACTTGTCCCGAATGGGGCGGTGTCTCGCTGGTGGGTGATACCTGGTTGAGGGAAACCCCGCTAGTCGACGCTAGGTTTGCGCCGGATTGCGCCACACAGCGGGGGAAGTCCACTACCACCTCACCCGAGCAAAAACATACACTACACTTACGGGAATAATGACCATATTCGTTGACGCGCCCGGAATCACTACCAATCAATTAGTCTCTCACCTGGGGCTCGCTGAGCAGCCACCTCAGCGCCGCCGGGTCGAGATTGTCGCCGCTGAGGTCCACGTAGCGCTCGCCGGGCTCGCTCAGCCAAGCACGCAGCGCCGCCTCGCCTGGGCGCGCCACGCCGTTGTTGCCCAGCCGCACCTGCAGCGCCGCGCCCAGCGGCCGATTCACGCATGTAGTACAATTTATTTAGTCGTAAATCAGCTGTTGCTGTTTCATGCAATCGCGAGCTTATATGTCGCTACAGTGACGTCAGTACGGAAAAGTTGAAGCTCCCGATTGGATGAAACTGTAAACTGCTGATTTACGTCAAGTGCACGGTTAAATAAATCCTATTATATGCACACGAGGCACATGTCTGTGCCGGAAAAATTTTAGCAAACATTACGGACTAAAATTGTGTCAAAAGAGCCCCTTCTTTGTCGCGTGCGATTTTTATTTTTTAAATTGTTTTCTATGAGTTTTTGAGGAAAATTAATAAATATTCGAAAATTAATTTTTTAACAGGCTGATAATACCTTCTGGTAAATGACTTATGATAAGTCAAAATGAACGATGCTTACATTTTCAATCTTCAAACAATGCAGATTTAATTACAATGACCGAAATGAAGTTTTCATGTTACATCGAGGAAAGCATTTATATTATATTTTTTAAATAATACATATTTAAATACATGTAATTTTGAGAAACAGTTTGAAGACGTCATATTTTGTTAATGTTTTCTAGCGTTAAATGTAGACTAGGTAATTTTAAGAATTAAAGTTAGTACAATGATAGAGTAATAAACATGCCCAAAGTGATGAATTTGTTATTTCTATACATCAAAATATATTACATAAAAAATAATTTATTTCCTATAGAAAAAGAAATCACGCATAAATTATTAATTAAATTATATTTAATTTTAATCATAAAAGTGTCTGTCCAATTTTTGAAGATAAATGATACTTATATAATATGTTATATAATAACTTTTTTCTTGGATTATCTGGAAAAAAAGAAGTAGACCGCAATTCTCGCATGCCTACAGGCGACAAAGTTGTTAATCCGCTTCTGCCCGAACCGCCTGACTTGCGCACGCCCTTCAGTTAAAGCGCTCAGGAGAATAACGGAAGATCCCAACCGATCTCGCATTTTCATTTAAAAGTACGACGGCGAACTCCTGCCATATACCTATCATACGCTGTAATATCAAAAGAATGAGGATACGGCAAAACTCTCAAATTCAAACTTTAAAAATTTGTCCGGAGTGTAAATGTACGTGAACGAAATCAGAAAATGTCATTTTATTCGAAACGGACTAGGGTGAGGTCTGCCGTTATTATTCTGAGCGCCTGAATTCATTTCGTTTAGGACCGTTTTCGTAGTCGTCACTTATAATAAGAAAAATCTTCAGGAGTTCCGTAGAACGTTTTTCAATTCATAGTCGCAACTTATTCGCACTCAAAAAATCCTTATAGCTATAAGGAAAGTACAGCCTAATAAACCCTCTCTTGGTATGCTGAAAATAGTTATTTGAAGAAAAAATGGAAATGGACGACAATTTCGAAGATTGTATGGTTTTTTATGGTCGCGTAATTCTACATAGCAACAAACGACTTTTATGTGACATGCTAAACCCGATAGAAATGAACACCGATCAAGAATTTAAGAAACGATATTTTTACCTAAAAGTGTTGTAGTACACGTTTTGTTAACATTGGTGGCTAAACCACTTTAATAGAGTTTCACTACAATTAAAAAAACTGTTTAAGATACTATTTAAGAAACTGTGTAGCTTGCGGTACCCCAAGGATGCTCTGGGACGCAAGCGTATGACTAGTTCACGGCCAACTTGATGGTATGCTTCTGGCAGAATTCGAGAGACAGAGAAACATCCAATAAGCGTATGACTAGTTCACGGTCAACTTGATGGTATGCTTCTGGCAGAATTCGAGAGACAGAGAAACATCCAATAAGCGTATGACTAGTTCACGGTCAACTTGATGGTATGCTTCTGGTAGAATTCGTACACGTTGGTAGACAAACATCCAATACGCTGTTGCTACATGAGACGCAAACTTGTTACGATTTGTCTACGCTCACATCGTAGACATGTTACGATTTGTCTATGAATACCAGATGTGCATAAGGGTTTCCTAATCAAAAGTAACTTCTTATTGCTTAAGTATTTCCTTATCCCTTAAAGTAATCCCTGAAGTATTCCCTTATCCCTATTACGAATACGGCCCTCATAGCTGTATGTCACGTATTTGGGGAGAGGAATGATGTACGCATATTTTCTTTAGTTCCACACCCCTCCCTTTTCTCTACATTGTTGAATGATGAATAAAAGTATCAAAGAGAGTTTAGCAACATTTGAAAAACTATATTTACTCCCGAGTAACAGGCAAATTGTTGGATTCCCTAATCGAACTTCACATTTGATTTCACAGAATTGCCAACCAAAAAGTAACTCACACATCCCGCCTCAACTCCTGCCACAACTAGCAAAAGGAGAGCTCAACAAAATGTACGCATAGTGAAGCTACATTTATGTCCAGAAGCAAAGCAAAGGGGCCATATCGACTTTTGATCAATGGAGCTCGGAAACTGGACTCAAAACACGTTCTGTTTTGTTTCACTAGTCATTAGCTTGTAGGTAAGGATATATGGCCGAAGACTAGATTTAAAACCACGAATCTTTTCTATTCGTTATGTTTAAAGATTTAAATCACTCAGTAGAAATTTCGAAAAATAAAATAATCTGGAAATCACATAAAAAAAGTTTGCAGCTAGCATTTTTTCACACTTACAATCTAGCAGTCCAATTAGATACTAATGCATTTATCTAAATTACATTTGCTCGTTTTTGGGGGTAACCAACTCCTACTGGTCAATAATATACAATGAACCACAAGAGCTAAATTGTATTAAATAAACTTTTAAAATTAGTTTAATTAAAATAGTATAAAAATTAGCAATGAATAAACTTCAATGCCAATGTAAAAATAGGTTAGACAAAAAATTAATCGTTGGAACAACACTAATAGACCATAATCTTGACGTGTGTGTTAAGTTACAGCTCAAAAGAACTTTTCACATGGATTTTTACTGCCGAAAACTCGAGTGTGTATTGTTAAGGTGATTAAAGTAAAGGTATAAAGTTAAGGTGATTTCAAAAGGATTCCTCCCTGCACTATAGTATAGGGAGGGAAAGCCAAAAACGCAGTCCTTACCAGGAGAGGCCCAGCAGCGCTCCCCAGCGGCGGCGCTGGCAGCGTCGTCAGTCGGTTGTGTCTCAGGTTCAGAAGACGCAGGGACGGCAAGTTCGCGAGGAGGACAGGCGCCACATCCGTCAATTGATTCATGTCCAGATACAACTCTTCCAAGGCGACCAGTCCTCGGAACACACCATCTGGAAGGACGCTCAAACGGTTTGCCCTCAGAGACAGCTCTTTTAGGTTGCTCAGTCCGGAAAAGATGTTCTCAGCTAATGTCTGGAGACGATTTTGATAGATGTCGATGGTTTCCAGATTGTGTAGGTTCCGGAACACTCGAGGAGGTAATTCGTTCAATCTACTGGCAGCCAGATTGAGACTTTGGAGAGAAGATAATCCTTGAAACGCATCTTCCGCTACGCTTTGAATGTTACCGTTAGACAGGCTAAGATGATTTAAATTCTGCATAACAAAGAATTCTCTTGATTCTACTGCCATTCGACGACGAGATCCCAAAATGGCTCTCTTGATTCTAAACAGCTCTTGCGTTGGAATTTCTATCAAAGGGTTGAAACCTAAGTCAACTTCTTCCAGATTTTCCAAGCCTGAGAATAGGCCTCTCGGAAGAGATCTTAGAGAGTTTTCATACATCTACAAAGTTTTTAGGTTCGTTAAATTGGAGAATACATCAACGGGTAGGGATCTGATGCCAATGCTATCAAGGTGGAGGATTTTCAAATGCGGAAGGTGACGAAAGGCTTTTGAAGGGAGCTCTGATACGGAGTTCCACGACAGGTAGAGGTCCTCTAGAGAGGGGACATTGGAAAGAAGTTCTGCAGGAAACGCTTGTAAATCAGCTTGCGACATCCCCAAAGTCTTCAAACTGACAAGCGGTGAGAACGTATTAGGAGACACAATAATGGAATTTCCTCCTAAAAGCAGTGTCTTCAATTGCGATAATGAATCGAAGAAACCATCAGGAATAGCAGTTATACCCGAGGCGAAAAGATCAAGAAATTCGAGACGAGTAAGAGCAGAGAAAGTCTGAGTTGATGGACTCGTTATGTGGTTTATTCCCAAACGAAGTTCTCTTAACTCTACCATTTGCGAGAAAAGGTCTTGTGGTATTGCCCGCAACACGTTGAAGGATAAATTCAATTTTCTCAGACGAGTGCAGTGTTGTAATTGCCCTTCTAAACTGACAATGCTGTTGTGGGATGCGTGCAATTCATGTAAAACACAAACTTCAGGGAGAAAATTTAAGTTCGTGAGATGATTGTTATTGATAAAGAGTTTTTCAAGGGATGACAAATTTTGCAAGTGACTTGAATTTATGTCATTATGAGAAAGATCGAGAACTTTTACTTCCGGATTCACTTGTGACTCCAAAATCTGTACCAAATCATTCCGCGAGATGTTAACAATTATAGCAGATTGTATGCCGTCCGGAACATTCAGCAAAAAATTGTCATAGAAATTGACGGTAGTGAACGTCGTTCCATTGCACAAATCTTGCGCCGAAAATGAACTTTTTCCTCTCTTGGAGCAATCGAGAACATCGTTGTCACACGTACAGGGAAGAAGAGTATTTTCCCATACCCTACCTTCATCACCTAGTGAAACAGTTGCAGCAGCAAGGCAAAAAATGCGTAATAACAGGAGCTGAAGTACGATTCTCATGTTGAAAGAACTAGCAGTGCCTCTGCATAGACTGATAGCACCACAACCCTTTTATCGTTGTCAGCTCACAATTGACCTTGGCCTTTGCTACATTACATTTAACTAGAATTTGCTATCTAAACTGAGAATAATGAGTTCATAACATACTCGTGACTCACTTCTTTAATCTTGGAATTTTTGGTCACCGAAACGTAGAAATGAAATATGGCTTTAAGAACTGTAAAAGAATAAAATTTGGTTATAAATGTAAAAATTCGTTGAAAAATTCGGAGCTGTTTTTGAGAAAATGTCATTTGAGCGTTTATGAAACTGCGTAAATTTTGGATTATTTTGACAGAAAACTTTTGAATTTTCGAGAAACGTTATTGGCAATAATTTGAAGCACTTATATTCCCCAATGAAATAATGAATAAAAAGCGTCCGTAATATAAATATTAATGACGTGTGAGATATTAAAAAAATATATTTGTGTAATTTTTGAAAAACCAAAAGAATACAGCAAAATCGCAATTACGTAGTGTTATTCAGTGCATTTATCACTATTCGTTCGAAACGTTTAAAGAAAAATTTGGAGTCGTTTTTGCAAATATCTCGTTTTTAATTTTTTTAAATATTGCCTATATTCCACTTAAAATTACGAGAAAACTACTTATATTTAAAAAAAAGATTTTATTTGAAGAAAACAATTCTATTTTCAATATTGTAGTTGTAGGAAAAAGTAATTTTTAAAAATTCAGAGTTGACAGTAAAAATAGGATCTATACCATCTTTATAAGTGTATTTCACTCTATTCTTACAAAAATAAACTTAAAGAAAGATACAAAGTAAAAAATGACTTGACGTTAAATGCAAAAAATGATATAAAAATGTGTCATTTCGTTTTGCCATAACATAATATAAGTTTCTATACTAAACCGCATTGTTCTAAAGTGAAAAGAAAGGACAAGAGAATAGGACAAGGAAGAGGTGCGAAAGATCATGCGGGGTCCGCGGCCCGTTTGTTAGGGTACTGCTCCGGCATTCGCCTGGTGTTGATCAGAGAAACCACGGAAAACTTACGATCAGAGCAGCCGGCATCTAGAATTCTGACAACGACTGAATCCGACTTAGCTGACAAGCTAGTGTCGAAAATCCTACCATCGTCGGGCCTCGAACCTGGGACCTACTGGTCAGAGGGACTGAAGTGACATCAGTGAACTGTCGATAAGGAAAGGAGCTAAAATAATTATTTTCGGTGACTGATGTGCGGTATAAAATATGAAGGTGCACGTGACTTTTTTTCAAAACATCTAAGACCTACTCGTAATTGAGCGCGATTACCAGACGCAAGATTAAAGCCGGCAATCTCCGAATATAGAAAGTAAAAAAACAACACGAAAGCCTAATATTGTTGATATCTCATGATATATATGAACTGAAAAAATATTTTAAAATATATTTTAGGCGTATATTTTTATTATACATATTTTACAGAGCAATTTTAATGTATTTGCATTAATAGTGAAGTACGGTGTGCTACGGTTTAACTATACGGTATATTTAAACACTTTGCCGTGATATGAAATTTCTATTGTGATATTCGTAATCTTCGTTTAGAGTTGTGTACGTTACGCACTATACTTTCCTGGGGGTAAAAATAAATTCTTCCCTAGTGTAATTAGAGGTGTTTGGAAAGTATGTAAAATTGCTTATCTATTTCGTTCTAGAAATTCAGGAAATATGACGTGCTAACTTTCAATATATGAACAATTTGAGGTGAATCTATAACTTCCAACATAATTTTGGTAGAAGGTCTTTCAATTATCTCTAGAGTTTTCGGCTGATCTGAAGTAAATCAAAATTTTATATGTACTGAAATTAATCATTTTTAAATGAAACACAGTTTTCCATTCTGATTTTATTGCATTTCCACGACAATGACTTCATTTCTGCAGTAAGTGTCATATTATTTGTTGTTGCACAGCAACTTGCATTGATAAGCAAAACGTATAACTGACCTTCGATAACTTTTGTTAGACAAACTGCTATTGCTTGGCACAGACGTTTGCAACTTGTATGTTTTTTCAATTTCTTCTAGACCATACTACTTTTCGGAGTTGCCCCACCCTCTTATCAGCTGCAACCAATGGTCGGCTTAAATACATTTCTCCATTTTCTAAATTTTGCGGTCCCCTAATAGCAGAATTGAAATATGAATAAAATGTTATAGAACAGTAAAATAAGATCTTATGTAATTTTTCATTGAAAAATTTGGAGCGGTGGTGTGGAAAATGCAGTTTCAACGTTTCTGATAATCCGCAATTTTGTGCTCAATCTCGCAGAAAAGTTTTGAGTTTTCAAGACCCTTCGTAAGACATGATTTGAAGTACGTATTCACAATTCAAAAAGTATTAAAAACATATGTAGTGTAAATATTAAAAACGTGAGAAAATATCAAAAAATATATTTGTGAAATATTTGAAAAATCCAAATAATACATCAAAATGTCATCCCTATCCGTATAAAATTTTAATGACAAATATTTTTCATTTTACTTTTATAGAAAGACGCTTTTTAAAAAAATTATTTCCTTTATTATACGCAAAATTAAGGGAAAAATCTTTTTCCATATTTATATATGTACTTTGCCCTATTTGATAAAATAATTAATCCAATAATTTGGAGCTAATTTTGATAAATATTTGGAAATGTCCTAGGGACTTCATGTAAAGCTCTCCAAAAATTAAAATATTCGTTTCAAATACAAAGGGCCGCAACATGAACAATATCTATCGGGGAAAGTCAATTCAATTGAAAATTCTGCTAACAGGTTTTCCTCTAACGTTGTTCACGTACGGACAGACGTTTTACAGAAGTTTCGGCATCAAGGACTCAGGTAAATTCTGACAACACAAAGTGATAGAGGAAGTACATATAGGAACAAGGACTATCCACTACGACTTCTACTCCTACAAGGGTCGTACACAAAGATTTGTTTCGCAAACAAATCGTCGTTTTACCGTAGCATATGGTATATGCGAAAGTAACAAAAAATGAGGTAATGTATTTCATTTGGGGTGGAAAAAAGAAAAAGTGGTTGGTGGATTTGCTGCACATCTTATCGCATAGAGTAGCGATTCTGTCGCTTGTTCTTAAGGATGATTCTTGATAATTATTAAGTTAGAATTGGATTTTTAACTTGCAGATCCTGTACTCTCACTCACATACGACAGCTGTTAAGGGGTTTTTGGTGATAAATAAAAACAATTTTTTTAGATTCTTTTAATCGTTTAAATATTAGTAATAATTTAATATAAGTGTTCTAATTCTGAACTCCGTTACAGAAAGGTCACCAAAATTTCAAATATGAAAAATACACATTTGAGATTTTTATATAATATCTACAAAAGATAAAAATGCGTTATTTAAGAAGGTATTTCTTATTTCTTCTTTACATCTTCAGGAATCTCTACTGAAAACTCATCGGCCATTAAGCATTTAGAGTTTTTTCGTGAGGGAAAAGATATTAAAGGTGCAATTGACGAAGCATACTTTATTTAAGGAAACTATCAAACGATAAGGTAAAAACTAGCGTTAGTATACGAGAGTTAGTATACGTTATACAATTCACGAATAGTATAATTTGATGATCAATATTTTTTGAAGAGCTAATGTATTGAATTTTGTTATCTTGGAATAAAAAAATAAATAAAGAATATTCGTCTGTTTTAGTGAACATAAGATTACAATGATTAATTTACAAGCACCAAATCATGGAATTTTTCTTACAACATGCGCTAAATGAGTTGTTAGGGTATGATATTTCCATTTACACTTAAATCGTTAACACAATCGTAACGGAAGGAAATATTTCGATTTATATCAATGCATATTTTTTTAATACGAGAAACACTTTTTCAATCAGTATCATAAATAAATAAAACACTGCAATAAAACACACTCAAATCACATTGAAGTAGTTTCTAACAGAGAGATACTCTTTCTCCGCTGTCGAAACAAGCATCACCTCTCTAGGGTTAAAAATAATATTAAGCACATTTATGAACAATAAATCAACAAAATGGAGACTACTTTTCGCAAATTTTTGTTTTTAATTCAGAACGTTAATCACAGTATGTGACATACACGATAGAAGACAAATTTTTCAATTACCTCCAGTGCTAGGGGGAATGTTTGAGACTGAAGCACTTTAACAACCGAAGTGCTCAGAGAAGGAACATAATTTTTCAAAAGATAAAAATGGGCAGTTTTACATGTCACAAAGTAGCAACTACATGTCATCTCACAGTTACCATACCGTTAAATGCAATAGTGGTCGCTAAATGACCTAGATGTTGAATGGACTTAAAAACAACGAACAAGCGACCGTAAACTCTTAATATTTGGTTACAAAATGGGGTAGTTCGTCAGAAAAGAATTCTTAGTATTATTCTAGATGCGATATATAGTTTGAATTACTTGTTTACTTTAAGGGCTATGACAAAATTAGGTTCAGTTATTATTCTTACGGCTTCACTTTATGCATTAGAAGTTGCTAACAGGATAGTAGTTGAGTACCAATTATTTTTTTCAGAAACTCAGTATACCTCATATAAGATTAGTTTAGACAAAAAAGTGACAATATTATTCCCACTGTTCGTCATATTAGAGTTTCAGGTACCTAGTATAATCCTATGATAAACACGTCAAGACAAATGTAAGCAAGAACATGTCACCTAAGAATGTTAGTCGACACAGTCAGACAATAAGTGGTAAAAAACAAACCCAAATACGCCATCTTCAAAAACATAAAGCTCCTTTTTGTTTTGCATAGTCGGTTAAAAAATTGGCGCGTATCCCGAACTAAATGGGCTTCTACTGCGCCACGTCTAAGGTTTGTTCCATCTTAGAATGATCGTGATGTAAACAATCGCAAGAGTTTAATACATACCTATTGCTTGCTTGGATTTGTAGTTACGTGTTTGAAACGTTTTGCGACTGAAAATAGTTCTAGTTATAAAAATTAAAATTTCTTATTTAAATGCAAGTTTGAAAATACAAGAAGGGTTTTGGAGACGGGAAAAGTATCGTCGAAAGTTACTCGAAACTCTTAACAGGGCCATTGTTTTGAAATGCGCCGAAGGCGAAACCTAAACCCGTCGTAGGGTGTTGACAGTTTTAAAGGCGCTTGACTCATTAAACGTTCCAAACGCAGCGTTTGTTGGGCTCTCTGAGCAATCAGTTTTCACGTTACTGCGGCAAGCTCGTGTTGCATCTTTTATTTTTAAAATTTTTGTGTGTACTTATAACTTTATAATAGAGGATGCTGTGACAGAACCGTCTTTATAAAACATAAGAGAGAAGTGAGCCATTAATACGAGCAGAAAACATCATACGTTTGTGTGTTTTCTCGTGCGGTAGAAGCAAATCCCACATTCTTCTTAAACAAATTGCTTAACGCACATCATGGTCCAAGGGAGTGTCATCGTCAAGTGTAATGAATGTACACAGAGAGACGAGTACACACAGAAAATTTGTCACTCCACGGAAGAAACGATTTGGATGTTGAACCGCTTTCGGGAGAGCGCAATGAGTTGGAGAGATGATCGTGGAACGGTGTTCGTGGACCACTGCTGGAAGTCTGAGCTTTATTTTTATAGCAGGGTGTATGCAGTTGCTATATATGCTTCTGACAATTCGTGAACACGCATACCATTAAGGAGGGGAAAGCCGGCAAAAACGTTAGTAGCCGCGAATGAAGAGTATGCTTCTTTGTTTACATCAGAATCATTCTATGACTGAACATAGATCAGAGTGTCGTACAAATGGCCGAGATGGCTAAGGCAGTAGTGCGATAGCGACCTCGGACTGAAGGTAAGGCACAGAACAGCTAAGGCAGTAGTGCCGTAGCGACCTCGGACTGAAGGATCGCAGGTTCAAGCCCTCTGTGGCGGGCATGGTTGTATTTGTATTCGTCCTCTCACCTCTCACCATCACATCATACTATTAACCCTATCGTTAATTTAAGTGGTCCCTAATAACCTAGCTGCTAATGAGATCTTAAATTAAACAAAATAAAAATAACAAAAGATCAGAGTACCACTTGCATACTTACACCGTTGCGATGCCAACCCACCATTTAAAGCACATCTTGAGAACTTCTTGGGAGGAAGCAAACAAGCTATACTGCGATTTATGGCAGGTATCAGCTGACAGGTATTTGCTTTTACCCAATCGGGAGCTTTAACGTCACCAGTGACGTCATTGGCGGGATTCAACCGAGAGCTTGAACGTCACCATGGTGACGTCACTGACGGGATCCAAGCGGGAGCTTGAACGTCACCATAGTGACGACACTGACGGGATCCAATCGGGAGCTTGAACGTCACCATAGTGACGTCACTATGGTCACTTTCAAGCTTCCGATTGGACGAAACTGTTTACAGCTGACACCTCCAAGTGGCGGAGTTGCGAAAACCGCAGTATAAAGCAGGATCATCGCGTGGACCGACCAGCCAACACCCACACTGCTCAGAGACGCGTGGCGGCGCGCAGGCGTGCCGGCGTGGAGGCGAGCCAATCACCGGGGCGACTTCTGAAGGTGGAGTTGCACTCCACGCTGACGCACAGCCGCAGCTGGAAGCGGCTGCGTCGAAACACTCCACACTGGCAGCGCTCCCCGAACACGTCTTCCCCGGCGGCCAGCCCGGGCTCCCGCAGCAGCCATGCCACGTCTCCCAGACGCAGCGCCGACGACGTGTCCTCGATGTTCAAGTACTCCACGCTTCCGGAATTCATCCACGAGCGCAAAACGTTTTCGCGCACTTGTGAGAAGGGGTTTTCGAAGAACATCGCAATCTTCAAAGATGTGCAAGAAGCATCATACAGTGGAAGTGTCGTTAAGTCGTTCAGCCGGAGATCTAATTCTATGAGGGAGACGAGATTAGAAAATATATTTGGCGGTAACGTCGTGAGTTGATTGTGGGACAAATCCAGTCTTTCTAACGCACTTAGGCCTTGAAATATTCCACCAGGAATATTTGTCAGCCTGTTGTGGTTCAACTTCAGGACACACAACCGACTCAGTCCGGAAAAAAGTCTGTCAGGAAGTGTAGTAAGATGGTTCTGATCCAAAAGGAGATGCTTCAGTTGAAGTAGTTGAGAAAACGCTCGCCCTGGGATAGAAGAAATTCCAATTCCAGAAAGAACGAGAAAATCGAGATGAGGCAGGCCAACGAAAGTATTTTGAGACAGTGAACCCACGGAGTTTGAACTCAGCGAGAGAAACTTAAGGCGAGGTAGAGATGCAAATGCTCTGTCAGGAAGAGAAGCAAATGCGCTGTTTAAAATTCCAAAAGCGGTGACACGTGAATATGCTGCAAGATTTATGGAATTCAAGTTAGAAATCGAAACTAACACAAACGTAAGGTTACTGGATTCGGAAAATGTCCCAGCTAATAGAGGCGCTAGTTCGTGATTTCCGAGGACAACTTCCTGTAATTTCACGGCGTTGTGGAAGGCATCCACAGGTATTGAAGCTAGAGGATTACTTAATAAGATTACTTGTTTTAATCGAGGAAATTCAGAAAATGCACCATCGGGCAGATCGCTTATTTGGTTATGTGACAAGTCCAACGTTTCTAATGATGACAGACTTCTAAGAGGATTCTCAGGAAAAGCATGAATTACATTATTTCCAAGATTTAAATGTTTGAGATTAACGAGAGTTGAGAATATGTTCGTTGGCAATGAGAAGATGTTGTTTCTAGCCAATGTCAAATATTCCAAATGCTGCAAAGCATTAAATAACCCATTTGGAAGTGTATCCAGATGCATATTTTCCAATTCCAACCTCCGTAGATTTCTGAGCGTTGAAAATATAGATGATGAGACATTTTGAATCTGGTTACCGCTCAAACTAAGAGTTTTCAATCTCGAAAACGTTGAAAACACGTCTGCAGGTAACGATGTCAACTCGTTGCGAGATAAATCTAAAGTCTCGAGCCTAGCGCATTTTCTGAGAGGTCCTTCGAGATTTACAATTTCATTGTTGCTGATATCCAGATGTCGCAGCGCACATGGATCAGGAAGGAAGCGGAGGTGAGTGATATTTCTGTAGTTATCTTGCAGGTTCAGCGATTGTAAAGCTGCGAAAGTCCGAAACTCGGACTCCGCAACCTCTATGAAGTTTCCAGAGAGATCTAAAACTTGTATCCCCGGGTTCAGCCGGGACGCAGGAGGTAAAGCAGTGAACTTGTTCCGTGAAGCGTTGACGACAACAGCTGACGTGAATCCTTCCGGGAACTCGGGTAACGCATTTTCAAAAAGGTTCAGTTCGATGACCGGGCTGGAACACGCGTCTTGTGCAGTCAGAACCTTTTTGCCGCGCCGCGAACAGTCGAGAATGGAATTAACACAGTCACATGGCAACAGAGAGTTCTTGAAAGGAATGGAGATTGCACGAAAGTACCTTTGTACAGACTCGTAGAGACTTGCGGAGGCGGGAGTAGCGAGAAATACCGCAAAGGCGAAGTAACAGAACGTTAGCAACCGCATGTTCGTTGGCGTGGTGGCGTAGCGACTGCCACATCCGCCTGAAGTTGAGAGCCAGGTCACGACGCCAAAGCATGACGTTGTCGGGTGTGATGCTCTGCGATGAACTTTTAGATGACATCGTTTCATTACGTCAAAACATCTATTTGGTTTCTATTGCAGTTTTATTTTGTGAATGTTAACTTTTTAATTGCACTGCATACTTGTTAGTAATGTAAAAGCGTAAACAGTCTTAAAACAGTAAATAACCTTGGCGTAATCATATATCGGGCCATTTTCCTCATAGACATAAATGCAAAAGGAGAAATAAAAGTGAATAGATGCAATTTAAAGCGTGAAAAAAAATAAATACGAATTTATATAGTTATCAACAGAGTAATGTAATGTTCAAAATAAACCCCTGAAAATTATAATTTTTCACATGCACCAGTAAAAATTCGGTAGTTTAGGAACTGTTTTTCGTTATGTGTCCGGCAAGTACGTAATAATCTTTTTCGCTCAAGAAAATTAAATGAAATGTAAAATGTTGACGAATGCATTATAGTAATTTATCCATTACTGCGATGTTAACAATCGTTTATTTCTTCGTTATTTGTCAACACATCCAAGTAAAGTTTTCAATGTAGATTAATAAAATGATATTTATGTTATCCACGATAAGATAACTAACTGAACGGATACACAGGAAGAAATAAATTATAGTCTTAGGGCATTCACAGTTTAAATTGCTTTTTGGATGTATGTAATTATTATTATTATTATTATTATTATTATTATTATTATTATTATTATTATTATTATTATTATTATTATTATAATTTTCATTATTTTTTTCAAATTTATCGCTCGTCCGGGAGATTCCATAGGATTTCTTGAATTCCATTCAAGGACAGAACGTCAACACATAGCACTCAGGTTCCGCATCATTATGAAACATAATCATAAAGGTAAACGAAAATATCTATTCTGACGATGTTTATAATTATTTTAAGATATTTTACAGAAATACAAATGTTTAAAGACCTACAGTCCCTGGCCATATTATTAGACGCACTCCAAATTTTTAACAAAATATAAAGTTTTTAAGTCTCTCACTGCAGTACATTACATCTGGCATTCTTGCGAATCAATCAATAAAAACGAAGCTTCTTTTTTCTAATAATTAACACATTTGTTATTATGTACCAGTGTCATTATGTTGTGACACCTCATTGTTGCTTAGACGCACAAATTACAAGAGTTGAGTAGAACAAGAGGTGACATGAGTAGTGTGTTGTTGCATGAAGATAGTTTATTTTCCATTTATTAGTTTGTGAAATAGTTATAACCGTGTTTATTTAAAAATTGTGAATTGTTGTATACGAAAAACTGATAGTTTTGAATAAAAATAATGGGAAAGGCAAGTGATTTGTCTCCTCGGAAGATCGCAGCAGTGAAAGCTCTTTTCGACACAGAAAATTATTCAAATCGTGAGTTATCTCGAAGGTTGAACGTATCCGAGACATCTGTTTCGCGAATTAAGAAAAATATTGTCCTTGGTGAAAAATTATCCCCACGAAGGAAGAACACATGTGGACGGAAGAGAATATTTTCACTAAGATTTGAGAGATGTTTGAGGAAGATTTGCTATGAAAACCGGTTTGCTACTACTTAACAAATTAAATTTAAATTGGAAAGTAGTGGAATCTGTGTATCTGAAAGGACAGTAAAGCGTACTCTACTACAAATAAAATTTTAATGCTTGTATTGACCAGCCCACAAACCCAGATTAACAGCTGGTATGAAAGAAAAACGTCTTGCATGGGCTAAGAACCTTAAGAATAAAGATTTGGACTTCTGGAAATCGGAAAATATTTAGTCTAGTGCTTTTTTTTATAATTATAAATGGCTACCAAAATTAATTCTAATGTCGGACAGACGGTCGGACAGACGGTCGGACAGACGGTCGGACAGACGGTCGGACAGACGGACGGATAGACAGACGGTCGGACGGATAGACGGACGGTCGGACGGACAGACGGACGGTCGGACTGACAGACGAACGGTCGGATGGACGGACGGACGGACGAACGGATGGATGAATGGACGGACAGAACGGACGTTTTGCCGTCAATCGATTTTCGATGTCACTGACCCACAAAACATGGAGTCTGGCTACATCACGTGTTAGAGGATTTTTTTTTCTTAATTTAGTAACTGGATTTATCCACTTTTTCCTTACCAGGGCCCGGCAATGAGTTTTTCGGGCGAAATTTCACTGTTTTTTCGCGCAGCATTATATATTTTTCTCTCTACTGCGTAAGCGGTAGCAAGAAAGAAATAAACAAACCTGGTAAGCACCACAGTATGCCTCCAAGTTACATACCAATAAGTTTACAACCTAAAATAGGGAAAGTGCAAAATTAATTCGTAAAAGGTTAAATAGATTCCTAAAAGAAAACAAAATAATTCCAAACGAACAATTGGGATTTCATTACTCTATCACTCAGCAGCTTGACTGAAAAAACAGCAAACGAATTTCACCAGCATAAACACACGTTTGGCATTTTCCTTGATGTAGAAAAGGCCCTTGAAAAAATTTGGCTGTCAGGGCTATTGTTTAAAACGAGAAATTTGGGGAAACTCCAGTATCTATATGAAATAATTAGATTTTTAATACAAAATTGTTCCTTCACAGTGAAAGTGAATAATACCTTTTCAGATCAAAAAATCACGCCACAAGGGTCACCGCTCTCACCAGCCCTCTTTAACATTTACGTTGCAGAATACCCTCAGATGGAAAGAACAGAAATAGCATGTTTCGCTGGTGATACGGTGCTGTTCACAACAAACAAAGATGTTGATCAAGGTAGAGAAATTTTACAAAAATCATTAGATTCATTTAAAAATTGGTGCTTAAAATGGCAAACAAATTTAACTCTCATAAATCACAAATTAAAATATTTACGCTACCAAGACCTAAAATGCCCAACCCACTAATAAAAAAATAATGTAAATTTAAAATGGGGCCAAAAAATTCAGTGAGATATTTAGGAATACTTCTAGGCCAAAAACTAACGTGGAAATGTCATATTAAAGAAATAGACAATAGAATATACGTGAAAATAGAAAAACTATATCAACTCTTGAATAGCCACTCTAGGCTAAGCATAGAATGTAGGATAACTTTATTCAAATCAATTATTAGGTCGTCACTTATGCTTGCCCTGTTTAGGGGTAGAAAGTAACTTACATAAAATCAAAGTAGTTCAAAATAAATTTTAATACGGATAATTAAAGCACCATGGTTCGTACCAAATAGACAAATTAGAAACGAACTGAAAATAAGAAATCTGAATACTTACATTATAAGACTATCAGAAACAGTATTTGAAGAACTACCAAAAGTGGAATGTGATAAAAACTTCAATCTAGGATGTTGAGCAGAAGAAAAAACAAATAAGGTACCCACAGGATAAACTACGCCCACTATAAACGCATCAATAAAAATGCAAATTGATTATAAATAATTGTTAAATATGCAAACAACATAAAAGAATAGAATGTTACAAATTTCAAATAAACAAAAAATCCAACCTAACCTAACCTAATTATGAATGAAACCTAACAATAAAAATGAAGCCTAAAGATGATGAAACCTAACAATGAAAATGAAGCCGAAAAATAAATGAAACCTGACAATGGAAAACAAATGAAATCTAACAATGTAAGAGGAAGCTTCGCCTATGCCCTAAACCAGTTCTGACAAGTAAGTCTGTAAAATCAGTGGATTGAACAAATAGGAGATAAAGCTGTTAAAAAATAAAGGAAGTTCCTTATCGCCAGCAAGGATGAGACTTCTCGTATCACTCGACCAGGAAAGCCACAACAGTATCGCGGACGCATATTTTTTGCTTCATTACTGCTCCACATCTGAAAATTATAGTTACGGTTCATCCTCATGTCCGCACTCAGCAGTTCTTGATCCTTCGTGTAGCGTGCGCAAACGACCATGCCGAGTGAACAATTCACTATAGATGACTCAAGCAAAGGTCGCGGCGAAACATCTTTTCGTGCGTGTGTGATAGCGCTGCTCATTTTTCTTCTGTTTTGTGTGACCATCATTATAGTTTTATTGGTGGTGAAGAAAGACACCGGTCCAGGGACTACTGCCAAAAGTGAGGATGGTGGATCATCATCAAACCACACCGGGGATGGAGTAAGTCGATAGAAAAATACTCGTTATTTTTACGAAATATTTTATCCTTTCTTTCTCATGTACAACAATAAAAAAACAACTCTAGAAATATAGTGTTGGGGATAATGCGACCACATCAATATAGAAAATATGTAGACAATCTAGTATTAAAGGGTAATGATTGGTCAACGATATAGCAACATTAGGCAATATCTTCAAGCAACGTTTCGAGAATGGAGGTTGATCTCACAAAGGGACACAAAATTGATCATCAGACGTTTCAGAAAAAAGTATTTTTAATATAATAGGAAATGTGTTAAATTCTCCTAGCAAATGATAGTCTTTCATGCAACCTCTAATTCAATACAAGAGTGCTCAAGGTGACTTATTTATATGTTCCGTATCAAGAGTATGGTTGTTCCATGTACTTAGCCTTATGGTTTTCTACTCATCGGTCGTTATTAATTTAATGTTGTAGGGGATGCTTTGGATAAGCTTTCTGTTTTTAAACTATTTTAATTCGAAAAGAATGTATATTATGTCTGTTCTTTAACCGAGCTACAGAAAGAAACAGGGAGATTCAAAAACCGAAATTTCGGAGTAAAGTTGACAGCTTCTTACCCCAATATGATTTCATTAATATTAACTTTCTAACTAAATTCGTAAATGAAAATTTCTGAGATTATTATTATTATTATTATTATTATTATTATTATTATTATTATTATTATCGTTATTATGGTAGCATACATGGACCCCATTAAGGCCTAATATAATATAGAACAGAAAACCATTAAAATCACTTCACAGATAGTTCTATAAAGATATGATTAAATATAAAAAACACTTCACAAATTTTATGCACAACGTAGTTAATGAGAAGCACTGCACACGACCCATTCTAGCTGCCTCCACACGCCTCTGTCTTGCGCCAGCCTACACCAAAGTGGCCCTGCTGCTTTCCGTAGGCTATCGCTCCAGTGGTCTGCGGTTTGCCTGAATTTCTCCCTCCACACACTGGGTCCCAGAAGGTTGTAGAGTACGCCCGTTTTGATTACTTGTGCCTCAGGACGTGACCTCCCCATATCCATTTTCGCCTATCGGCTTGAAAAACTGCATCTTCGATGTTTGGTTTTGTCCTTATACCTGTACTGCGTATTGTATCTTTTAGCGAAACATGTAAAACCTTCCTTTCCATTTTACGTTGACAGTGTTGCAGCAATGTTTTCCGCGCTATTGTTAAAGACCACGTTCGATATCCATATAGCAATAGCGGCAAAACACACGAATCCATTATTAGCTTTTTTATTTTTAGTCTAATTTGTTTGTCCAAAAGTACAAAACAAAGATTACAGTATTTTTTCCAGGTTCTTCTAATTTCCTTGTCCGAACGGTTAGAGAAAGCGATTAGTTGACCTAAATATACATATTCTTGCCCTATTCCACACTTGATTTCTGAATTGTTATTGTGATTAGTTGGACGTTGGTCATATTCGTAGTAAAGGAGCATTATTTATGTAGGTAGCGTTAAGCATTTGCCCTCAAAAAATTCTATTGAATTAAAATAGATGCAAAATTTAATAGATTTGATTGTGTGTTGTGGTTTAAGTCCGAAATATGGCTAAATTCATGATGGTGGTGGCATAAGACGACAAATTTTTGTGAGTACACATTTGTTTTGTGTACTCTATAATATCGTTTCACACTCCGAATGATTTTCAACGCAACGCATACAGTTTTATTGAAATGTCATTAGGAAAAATATAAATAAAATAAAATAAAACTGCTGGAGGTAGTTCTCGGGAGTAATGGGGGGAGGGGGACGAAAGCCCGGTGCTTTTTTCAATAATGGAAAATGTAATTTTCGAGAATAGGGAGTTACGACTCCGAACTTATGGAAAGTTATCCGAACATATTTTTGGATTAATTTGAATGTAAGTAAACTGTCTTCCATGGCTCTATCAGTTATCAGTACTTCACCGTTTAATCAGTGAATTAAATACTTACTCTCTGCCAAGTGGAATATTTAAATGAAATTGAAACTATTTTACACAACTTTTTAATACTTAAAAAATAACAAATATTATTCCAAAATAATAGATTTTTTAAAAATCCATGGTCCATAGAGCATAATCGACTTGCAGCACCAATAACGAGAGGGGAAAGAATGTGTATTTTAAAAATATTCTTTGAATTAAATTCCAATTACTTTTCTCAATAAGAATAAGAATAAGAAATAATCCTTTTTTCGAAATTGAGAAAGAGTTGTGTGCGCTATTTATTTAATGACAGGGCAGCTCAGCTACATGCAGAACATAGAGGAATCTACTGGGCGTCATGTAAATGCTGAACGAAACACGTTCGCTCGTAAATTCGAGCGTTAAATGTAGAGAGCAAAACGTGGGCGGGGGGGGCGCAGTGCCTTATCTAAAGGGGCCACGGGACGACGCCGTGTCGGGTTGTGGTGTCCCGAGAGCGGGAACGCAGGGAGGCCGCTGGTTTGCCTTACGACGAATATTATCTTGACGTCTTGTAAGTTTCGCCAATTAATACAATTGCGATAGTTAAACAGAATTGCTTCTGCTGGACAGAAAGCGACTTTATACTACCAAGCAGCGGAGCCAAAGTACAAAAATCATCAACGCACGAAAGTCGAGAAGAATGAGGCAAAATCAAATGTCTATTGATATGCTAAAACACATTGTATTATTTTGCAGTTTAACATTAAAAGTAAAGGCTTTATATCTTTTAAATTTTAAATCCTCAATGGTTACAATTAAAAAAAAATAGTCCTTACTACTTAATGGCGCAGACTTTCTTGAACTAATTCGTTTTCTCATTTCTTTGATCTCGGCTAGCTTTCGAACTTTCCACATACTCTTGCCAATCGTCCGCCATCCAAACTACATTTTTTTGAATTTATAACAATTTTTCGGTTTGCTAATAGTAGAACCGAAATATTAATTTAAGAATATTATAGAAGAGTAAAATCTCGTCCAATGAGGAGATTTTTGTTGAAAAATTAGCGGCCGTTTTAAGAAAATCTATCTCATCGCCACACAGCAATAGATATTGGGATATATGTATGAAAGCGCACAGTTATTATTTGCCCCGACCGGGAATCGAACCAAGAGAGCACGCTAACCTACAAGCCAGCCATGAGGGATACCAAACAAAATAGTTGAAGAAATTGAAGAAAACGGACAAACTCAAATTTAAACAAATATTCAAATATTTACAAAGACTTCTAAATAATATAAAATTTAATTTATGAAACGCGTCAAATGTGATCAATTCTTCTGAAATAAGTTAAAAAATAAGTCCTTAAAAAAGTTCAAATACACTTTTTTTGCAACTATCATAGTGTCGGGATCCTTGTCTACGTCCTGGTGAAGAATGGAACGTTCCGCGTAGCTTTTACGTAGACCTACGATGTCATTTTCACGATCACTATAAACTTGGTTTAGGTCCTGTTTCTTAAGTTTATTTACCTACTTAGATGGCTTATGAAGTCAATTGGCAACTGACCAGGAGGTCCTAGGTTTCGAGTCCCGACGATAGCAAGATTTTCGACTCCTACTACATAGCTAGAGCGAATTCATTCGCTGTTAAGAGGAGATTTCTAGTTGCCGACTGTTCTAACCGGTATCTTTCCTTGGTTTCTCGGATCAACACCAGGCGAATGTCGGAGCAGTACTACCCCCAACAAACGGGTCACGCACTGTGCGCCACCTTTCCTTTCACTTCCTTATTCTATCCTACCCCTCACGTACACACACACACACTTTCATGCACTACTCTAGCACACATGTCGGGAGCTTGGAACTTGTCTCGACTGGGGCGGGACTTCTCTGCTAGTGGGAGATACCTGGTCGGGGAGAATCCCGCAAGCCCCCGGTCTACGACGGATCCCGCCGTCCAACTGGGGAAGATGTTCACCACCTCCCACGATAAACACGTGCACTAAACTTACGGAACCTTAGCTCAACGTGACCTCAGAAGTTGTCGTGCCTGGTAAATCAATCTTAAGCGTTTTTCTCAACTTATTATTTCAAGCATACTTACTGACGACCTTAAACGTAGAATATATGTTTTCCATTTAACTTTGGTGGAAATTTAATTAAATCTTACTTGTATTTCGTGAAAACGTTATACATTTCTTATAAACTTACTGAGTTGGTTATAAACATAGGTTTTCGCGTCCGTTATTTGCTGTTTATCGGCCTGATAACTTCGATAACTATAACTAGAGGTTACGCAATCTCGTCTTGTTTTTCAGCCTGGGAAAGAAGACAGAAGAGACTCGGAGGGCGCAAGCGAGGGAACCACCCCCGCTGGGCCTTCCTCGACGCCACCGCCGCTCGCTCCGGCAGGTAAGGCGACTGAAGAGACGACAACTGAGAAGACAGCAAGCAGAGATTCTTCTGAAGATCGAAGCTCATCAGAGACCAAACATGTCAAAGCATCTACAGAATATCCTTCATCTACAGAACATAGCGCTTCAATAGAGCCGCGTAGAGGTTTAGTGGGTGTAGATGACACCACCGACTACACCGGTACCTCTACAGAGTTCTCTATGGCCGTATTAACGGGAAGTACTGGTTTGCCAGAAATGCCTAGATCTAGAAGAGAATGAAACTCTTTCGAAATATTACGAGTACGTCCACGAAAAATCCTTTCAGGACGATCACTGACTTTTCTGCGGAAAGTTCTGATTCAGAGACGCACATTATTGACTCATCTGAGAATCTTACAAGTACCTCTACAGAACCCCCTGCGAGTACCTCTAGTGCGTCCCTAAGTCTACTTGGATCTCGGAAGGAGAGTGCTGAGCCAATAGCGTCGACTTCTACAGAACATTCTTCGTAAACAATAGAGCTTCCCCTTATTCCAACTTCACCTCCTCCTCCAGGAAAGGAAAGGACGTTGGATTACATTTTACAAACATGAAGGACAGAACAAAAAATGTTTACAAAGAGCATTTAAGATTGTATATCCTCTTTAGAATTGTATGCCGGATGTTATGTTGAATAGTTTTTAATTTACTGTCGCAGCAATTTCAAAGCTAGAAACAAGCAACATTGCATTTGTATTTAACAGGTTCTGATATCACAAAACCAGTGCTCAAATCACTTTGCTTCAGAAACCTTATTTGCAAATATATTCTTATTAAGAGAGACTAACCTTTAAATCATGATTATTTTTCTGATTATTTTTACTATTATTCATGATATTTTTTTCTGACAAGTACCTGTAGACGTACCTAGTGTGGATTCTTCATGGCTAACAAAGAAGTGGCACATCAGTACTGTGAAGTATTGTGTTGTTGCAAAGCGCATTGTGTAGAAAAGATTAAGTGTTTCAGATAACCGATGTCAATTACTAAAAAACGTGTCATTCTTCTCAGAAAATCTATAAACCTAAAAAGTATTTAAGGTGTGATTCAATGCACCCCAAATTCTTTTTGTTCCGCTTAAGATGTAAGAAATGCTGTTTTTGGTTTTCAATATGCACGCGTTAAGTATTTGATTCTAACACTTTTGCAGCGAGCGCTTTTTAGGGAACCATGCCTTTAAGCTTGCACACATGTAGCGCCAGCTGGTATGTTGAACATTGAGAGTAGTTTGCCATTAGACGGCAATCACTGAATCCCTTAAACTTCTGACTTCACTAAGTGTAGCAGACGATCAGGCATCTCCGCATGGAGCACATGGTCGTGTAACCATGAGCTATTTGGTCATGAAGTGTGATGTGTAACATCCAAAATATTGTGTTATTTATTGTCTGACCCTTACGCCACCTACTGAATGCCAAAAATGGCATTTCGACGTCTTAAACGGTACAAAAGGTATTTGAGGTGCAAGTAGTTTCTGAATCACACCCTTAAATAGTGCTTATCTGTCAGGGAGATGAGAAGGGAAGGTTTGGCATAAATACAGATCGGAAATTCGAAACATTTGTGCATCCCTGTACAATGCTCTAATTCATGTTCTTTAACTCTTAAGTTCGACCTATCCTTCCCTTCTAAGCTGCTTCCCTTCCGGTCGATGGGTTGGAATGTCGCCCATTAAGCATTTTCAAGCTTACTGACAAACCATCCAGGCCCACAAGACATTCGTCCACAAGATTAAATTGAAATACATTTTTCTCGCAAGAAAACTGAATCTGGGCTGGAAAGAGAGTTTGTTCGGCCTTCTCTCTGCGATCGGTTTGGGAGCTTGGCCAAGTGCACATTGCTAGGAGCAGAGAAAGGTTGCGAAGTTATAGTGCCGGGATGACAAACCGTTAGCGCGCGTGCAACATCTTAGCACGCAAACAAGGTAATGGCACGCCCCATGAACACATTAACTATTAACTATGAGTTTTTATCATAGTTAATAGTTAATGTGTTCAGTCATAATAGCATTCAGTCATAATAGCCTTCAGTTAAAGGCTATTATTTCCTCAGAGCACATCTGTGAGCGGCTCTTTGTCGTCACGAACTTTGTAATAAATACTTGGTACTGATTCCGTACCGCTTGCGTATTATCGAAGTCATGTTTATAGCCTGACATAATTACCTTGGGTATAAATATTTAGCAATTTGTTTTACACGCAATGAATGGTTGTTGAAATAGAAGATTGTGTATAAATGTAGTGCCCTCGAGGTTTTTGATTTATTATCCATTTTTAATCCATGCAAACTATAAACAAAGACTGAGAACCAGAGTACAATTCTCTCTTCATTGATCTTGGGATCTTACCCCTGTCCTGCCTAATTATTTACGAATCTGCTGTTTCTGTCAAAACTGACTTATTTAACAGTGGGAACAAATTTTTAATGCAATACTGATATTTACAATTACAACACACGTCTTAGAAATTAAATACGTGAGATATCAGTGTCAACAGCTCATTACAAGAAATTCATATTTCATATATGTATGTTACTTGACAACACATTGCCAGATAACATTAAACAATTAAAATCGGTACACATATTTAAGTTAATTTTTTCTGATGCATAACTGTTTATAAACAGTTAGAGCACACTGACCATCAAAAAGAAAAAATAATATACATTTAACAATGGTATATAATGCATAGTTTACATTTCTATTGTAATTTTAAAAATCATTTATATGTCTGTTATATGTTAATATGTAACAAGTAATGTACTTCAGCTTCCGGGTCATTGACTCCCATTTCGATCACATTTTGATGCAGTTTCCATGATCCAATTAGCAAATTCTGAGATGGTGCCTTCCTTTGCTTCTGAACATAAACGTAGTCTCACTATGCGCCCTTTTAGTTGAGCTCACCTTTTGCTACGAGTAGGAGTAGGAGTAGAGTCGGGGTATGTTACTATTTTGTTAGCAATACAAAAAAAATTAAAATATGCTGTTCGTTTACCAATGCAAATAAGTTTCTATAACTCGGGAGCAAACATGCCTAGTTTTCAAAAGTCGCTAACTTCGCTTTTTTTGAAATGTTCATTCATCAGTCAGCTATTTACAGTAAACATGAAAGGAAGAGGTTCTAGAGCTCACAAAAACGTGCGCAAATGGTATTTCATCCCTGTACATTACATACAGTTTTATACTGTTTTTTGAATAAATAAATAATAAATAAATAAAATAAATAAATAAATTAAATAAATAAATAAAAAATAAATTAAATAAATAAATAAATTAAAAATAAATAAATAAATAAAAAAATAAAAATAACATAAATAAATAAATTAAATAAATAAATAAATAATAATAAATTATAGATAATATAATAAAGTAATAATAAATAATAAATAATAGTTATAATAAATAGATAATATAAATAATAATAAATAATAAATAAATAAAAATAAATAAATAAATAAATAAATAAATAAATAAAAATATAAATAAATAAATAAATAATAATATAATATATACAATAGAGATAATTAATAAAAGCGACATAAATGAGAATAAAATTAGAGATGAGTAAGAATATAATGGTTTTTTCAAAACAACGTAGTGAAATAAATAAAATAATAAATAGTAAATAATTATAAATTAAATAATAAAATAAATTAAAAAATTCACTGATGACTGAACCTTCATGTTTCTTTTCTCCGAAAACAACGCTGTAATAAATTGCATTTATTTTTGCGCAATTCTTATAAATTAAAATAAAATAATGGTTTCGTGTCTTCTTAAGGAAAAATGAGTTGCTAACAAAATTGAAATTTGAAAGTATTAAAGGAAACACCAAGTGGAAAAATAGTCTATGGTTAGCCACCACTGTTATACTACTTTGCAAGCGCTCGACAAATAGACAGATTCTACTAGAATATAAGATGTCTCAAAATAAGTCACAAACGTTTAGGGGTTTACGATTATCACTTTTTGCCAATCGACATATGCATTAGGTTCTGTAAAAATGGTTTTGAAAGATGAATGTTTCGCAATTAAACCTACCGGTGGAAGACATTTATTTGCAATTTACATATAAAGTAAACAAGTGAGCACAAATTAATATTGTTTTTTCGTTAAGCCCACACCATTTTTAGATACATTTTATGTTAAAATTACATGTTCATCTTTCAAATTTAATTTGTTTCGTCCTTGACACGACGCCTGTGTAACACATCTTTTCTTATTTTATAACATTCTTGTATACTATTTTTCTAAAACGTTTAATAAAATTGGTCTCCTTCCCGCTGGGAATGGCCTTCCTCTGTCTTACGAAGTTGCATTGGCAGCAGTTCCATGTACCTCTTCGGAGTGCAAAAAGCTGGGTGCGACCATCCTGGCTAATTATTGTATTTTACGATTATTTTGTTTGGGTATATTATTGGAAAGTTCCAAAGGGAGTCAATGAGCTAGTCTTCTTTGACAAGAGATTCGCTGCAAGAAAAGGTGCGCAACAGCTCCAAGCCGATCCTCACCGTTTATGCGGTGCCAGGCTTCTTCGTCTACTCAGGTCTCAACAAGTACTTGTTCTCTCGGAGCCCCGCCCGCAAGCGTATCTCGTAGAACTGTCTTTACACGATTCTGCATCGAGCCCCATGCTAGCCAGCGATGGTCGCACCCACTTTTGCACTCCGAAGCAGCTACATGGAACTGCTGCCAATGCAACTTCGTATGACAGAGGAAGCCATGCCCAGCGGGAAGGAGAGCCAATTTTATTAACGTATTTTGAGTACAAAAATTAGCCAGCATACTACCAAGACATTGTTATCAAAATTAACGATAATAAGAGCTGTGTTACAACAGAGCGTTCCGAAGTGCTCTCGAAGTGACGAAACAAATTAAAATTGAGAAGATGAACATGTAATTTAACATAAAAGATGTATCTAAAAAATGTGTGGGCTTAACGAAAAACAAATCATAATTTGTGCCTCATTTTTGTTTACTTCATCACTGCGCTATACTATATCCTGCACACAACTAACACGTGTCTTCACCTGTAGTGTGTGTTATTCATCTAATGCGAATACCATTCATCTTTCACAGAGCCACTTTTTCAACAGATTATCCTAATGCCAGTTTATGTTCGCACATCTTGCTGCAGGAACAGTGATAATCGTAAACCCAAACGTTTTCTGCTGCGACTTTTACTTTTAGACCATCTTATATCTTAGAGTAGAAATCTGCTCTATGTGTCGAGCGCTTGCTAACGTAGCTATGAACAGTTGGTGGCCCTAACTCTATAGACTATTTCAGCTTGGGTCTATCCTTTAATATTACTCTTCAAATTTAATTTATGTTAGCAGACATCAATTTCCTTCCAAGGGAAGACCATCGAAACCATATCTTGAATATCATTTATAAGAATTACGCGCCAAATAATAAATTGCCAATTTATTTCACAGCGTTGTTTTCGGAGAAAGAAACCATGAAGGTTCAGCTCATCCAGTTGAATGTTGTTATTCTATTTAATTGTACGCTTTTATTACATTTATCTCTATTGTATATAAATTTATTTATTTATTTATTTATTTATTTATTTATTCTATTTATTTATTTATTTATTTATTTATTTATTTATTATTTATTATTATTTATTTATTATTTATTATTAACTATTATTTATTTATTTATTGATTTACTTTATTATTATTTATCTATGTTAATTTATTATTTATTTATTTATTTAATTTAATTTATTATTTATTTATGATTTATTTATTTAGTATTTATTTTATTTATTTATTTATTTTTTGAATTTATTTATTTATTTATCATTCAAAAAAACAGTAAAAAACTGTTATGTATGTACACGGATGAAAACCATTTGCGCCACGTTTTTGTGAGAGCCCTCTTAAAACTCTCTTCTCCCTTTCTATTCAGTACTACTCTCTCATAATCAGCTGATCCCATTACCTGTACATTGCAGAACAAAAAAGCGAACGTTAGCCACTTTGAAAACTAGCATGTCTTGCTCCCGAGTTATAAAACTTATTTCATTGCCGTAATACGAACAGACATATTTATTTTTTTTTTGTATTGCTAACTCAAAATAGTAACAACCCCGACCCGACCCTACTCCGACTCTTCTAGCAAAAGGTGAGCTCAACTAAAAGGCGCATAGTTCAGTTTCGCGGCCAGCCACCATGTTGGATCGCTCGATGTGGTGAGACTTACGCTTTATGTGTCCAGAAGCAAAGAAGGTCACCATTTTCAGTATTTGCTAATGGGAATCCATGGCTAAACTGCATCAAATGTGATCGAAAGGAGTTCAATTGACCGGAAGCTGAAGTACATTACTTGTGTACATATTTTAACATTATTAACAAGACATATAAATATGTTTAAATAATTACAATAAAATGTAAAATTGCAATTGATATACCAGTTGTCTAATAATGTATATTATTTTTTCTTTTTTGATGGCAGTGTGGCCCTAACGTTTATAAACAGTAGTGCCATCAGAAAAAAATAACTTAAAATATGTGTACCGATTTTAATGGTTCGAAGTTATCTTGGCGAATGTTGTCAAGTTAAGCATACATATATTGAAATATTTATATCTATATACTACATCTATATCTCTCCTGTATTAATTAATTATGTACTTTTGTTGTAATGATGAATATCAGTATTTCAATTAGAAAAATGTTGTTGCCCTACTGTTAAAGTAAGTCAGTTTTTATTCGCCAGCCAAAGACAAGCAGATCTCGTAAATAATTATCAGGACAGGAAGTTCCCAAGATCAATGAAGAGAGAGATTGTATCTCTGGTTCTGCAGTCTTTGCTTTATAGTTTGGCATGATTAAAAATGCGTAAGAAATCACAAAAACTCGAGGCACTACACCCTTATACACAATCTCTATCTATATCTAGCCATTTCATTGCGTTGTAAAACAAATTGCTAACATATTATACCAATGTAGATTTATGTCAGGCTATAAACATGACTTCCTATTAATACGCAAGCGCGTACTGAAAATGAGATCACGGAATCCCCCCAGTAACCAAGTAATTTATTACAAAGTGTCGGGACCCGACCCCAAAGAGCCCCTCTCCAAGATTGCTTCTGCAGGAAAAATAGCCTTTAAACCCTTGAAGGCTATTATGACTGAATGCTATTGATGACTAACACCATGTAACATATTAGACTATGATAATAAAACTCATAAGTTAATACGTTTAATGTCATGGCGTGCCACTTACCTGTTTTTTGCCGTGAAAAACTAAGATAGTTGCACGCGCGCTAACCGCGTTTTGTCATCCCGGCACTTAAACTTCGCAGACCCTTTCTCTGACTCCTAGCAATGTTGCACTTAGCCAAGACTCCCAAACCCGATCGCAGAGCAATAAGGCAAACAACATCTCTTTCACAGCCAGATTCAGTTTTCTTGCCGAGAAAAATGTTTGTTCAAATTTAATCTTTGACGAATGTCTTGTGCCTGGCATGTTTGTCATAAGCTTGAAAATGCTTAATGGCGAACATTTCCCAAGCCCATCCGACCCCGGATTAGGGAAGCCTATCTTTAGAAGGGAAGGATAGTTCCGAACTTGAAGAGTTAAAGAAACCTGAATTGAGCATTGTACACGGGACTGCACAAAATGTTTCGAAATTCCGACTCGATTATGCCAAGAACCTTTCCCTTCTCATCTCCCTGACAGATAAACACTATTTAAGGGGATCAGAAACTACTTGCACCTCTAAATACCTTTTGTACCGTTTCAAGACGACGAAAATGCCATTTTTGGCATTCAGTCAGTGCTTAGGTCAACAATAAAATAACACAAATATTTTGGAGTTACCACATCACACTTCATGACCAAATAGCTCATGGTTTACCGACCATGTTGCTCCATGCGTGATGCCTGATCTCTGCCTACACTGAGTTGAACTCAGAAGTTTCAAGGATTTCAGTGATTTAGCCGTCTAATGCAAACTATCTTCAATGTTCAACATTACCAGCTGGCGTACAGTGTTGCAAGCTTAAAGGCATGGTTCCCTAAAAATGCGCTCGCTGCAAAAAGTGTTAGAATCAAATATGTTACCACGCGTGCATATGAAAACCAAAAGCAGCAATTTCTTACATCTTAAGCGCGACAAAGAAGAATTTGCCTACTCGGTGCTATATTGAATCACCACCTTAAATACTTTTCTATGGTTTATAGATTTTTCTGAGAAGAATGCACACGTTAGT